TGTGTAGCTCGTATTGCAAAACCCTTCACAAATCTTCTGTAATATCCGGCCAAACCTAAGAAGCTACAAATCTCTATTACGTTTGTTCATACGGGTCAGTTACTAACTCCTTCTATCTTGGCTGGATCCACCGAGATTTCATCTTTTGAGACTACATGCCCCAAGAAATGAACTTCGTTGAGCCAAAATTTACACTTAGAGAATTTAGCATATAGTTGATGTCTTTTTAGAGTTTGAAGAGTAATTCTTAAGTGCTCTTCATGTTCCTTACTATTCCTTGAATAAATTAGTATGTCATCGATAAAAACAATAACAAATTTATCCAAGTATTCCTTGAAGACGCGATTCTTCAAATCCATGAAAGCTGTTGGGGCATTAGTTAGTCCAAACGGTATTACAAAAAACTTGTAGTGTCCATAACGTGTTTTGAAAGCCATCTTTGATATATCGTGCTCCTTAATCTTCAATATCAATCTTTGAGAAGATTGTTGCCCCTTTGAGTTGGTTAAATAAGTCATCGATCCTGGGCAGAGGATATTCATTCTTTATCGTGACCTTATTAAGTTCACGATAGTCAATACACATCCTTAACGAGCCATCTTTCTTCTTTACAAATAAAATAGGGGCTCCCAAGGCGAATAACTTGGTAGGATAAATCCTTTGTCCAATAATTCTTGTAGTTGCGTCTTTAATTGCTTAAGTTCTGCTAGAGCCATCCTATAAGGAGCCTTAGAAATAGGTGATGTTCTAGGTAAAAGTTTGATTTCAAACGAAATCTCACGTTCTAGTGGCAATCCTGGTAATTCTTCTGCAAAGACTTCCAGAAAATCTTGAACTATCGGCACATCTTTAGATTGCAACTTATCATTTTTAGTCGTATCCACAACATGAACTAGATATCTTTCGCAACCACTAGTAAGTAATTTCCTTGCTTCTATTGCATTAATCATTCATCTGGGGGTAGGCTTAGAGCGGTCAATGTACTAAAAAATTTCTTTCCCATCGGGTCGAAAAATCACCTTCCTATTACGGCAATCGATAGTAGCTTGATATTTTCCTAAGACATCCATTCCTAGGATGACGTCGTAGTCAATTATCTTTAATACGACTGGATCTGTGTATAGCTCCCTATTTGCTATGACTATCGGTACATGCTCTAGTCTATATTCAGACAATAGAATTTCCCCAGAAGGCAAGATAGTCCTAAATGTCTGTCCAATTCTATTCTTAGTATAACTTAATTTCTCAGTAAATCCATATGATGCAAACGAATGTGATGCATCGGAATCAAATAATGCGTATGCTGAGTGCTGAGCAATAGTAAGATGACCTATCACTACTCTTGACGTGCCAGCTTCCGCATCATTTCTCGTGTATGCCAACAATCTAGTTTTGGTATGCAACGACATGTCATCGTAATTAAAATAATAGTTTTAAAATAATACTTTTAACATGTCGTCTCTAATATTCCTTTCCATTTTAGCGATGACATGTCGTCGTAATTATATAAATTTTGTGCAATGACATGTCGTCACAAATATTTAATGCGATGACAAGTCGTTAAAAAATTTTGTTTTCTTTCAAGCGACAACATGTTGTCGCTAATACTGTAAATTTAGCAACGAAAAATGTCATCGCTAATAACCCTTTTTGTTGTAGTGGTTGCTGCTGTACATCTGTGCAAACCACTGTTGTAGATTAGGAGTTAATTGTGTGTGCTAGAACTCAGACTGTGATGCATAAGAGTAAGAACTAGAATACTTCTATCTCCGAGTGATTTTAGGTCCCACTCCCTTTTCATGACCCCTACATGACCCAAACGCATTTTCAAGAATTGCAACTTCATCGACAGTAGGGGAAGAGAAATTTTAGTTTGCACTCGTCAACCATCTAAACCAATAATAAGGAGAAAAGAAATTATTTGTGGCGACCTTCCTGAGTGGCCATTACTGAAGCTCGCATTAACATATATTTGTTGGAATTTCTAAAAATTTTGCGGAACTTATTTTTTTGAAAACTCTTATAGTAAACATAAATTTTGAATTTCTTTCTTAATGATAACAAAATATTTATACCTCAACATATTCATCTTTCAAAATATAAATATGCATGTACATACTTGATCATTAAGTCTTACTTACTTACGTACATTAACAGCCATAGCCTAATCATTTGACATATAGTTTCAGAGTCATAATTAATAAAACTATTTATCACATGAAACTATTTGTGGAAATAATTGCAAGCGGTATCTATTCTCCGATCTCTATATCGTTCGTCTACCACCTCGCCAACAGTCTATAAAGCATTAGGTGCAGGTTGCTTACCTACCGTATAAATATTCTAGAATGAGCTTTCGCTCAGCAAGTAGGAATCTCTCACAAAATAACTGTAAGTTCACATTAATAAATATGTATGAGCTAATTATGCTTAATTATGATCATGTCTTATTAAAGTCTTATTATTCGATCTTATCTTACGTACTGATGGGCTTGAGTGCTTGTACCATTTACGCACAATAATTGGGACGTGAGGGTTTGTAAGATCCCCAATGACAACGTGATTTAACTTATCACCTTTTTATCTCCCTTGCGGAGTCTTAGTTACCTCTCTCTTGGAGGTTAGTATGACACTCAACTGAGATTATTCTTATAAGTTATGCTTGACTTATTATGGTGCATGTAGCATGGTATGACATTGCATACTATAAAGCATAAACATGCATATATATCATGTGTAACATTTTATTTCAAATCTATGCATATTGTAGGCAAAATTCCTACTTACCTGTATTCCAGAGCTAGAATTCACTATCCGCTAAAACAGTCTATTCTTTTACTTGCTTATTTCTGAAAATGAACACCCATTGAAAGTGTAAGATTAACCGTCGTTTACTATTCTAATTTAGTAAACTTATAAAGGAATCTAATCCTTTACTTAATGCATTTTTTCCTTTTCTTTATTGTAGGATTGTAAAATATCATATTTAGTATAAGGATTAAATTTATTTAATACTTATAATCTTATTTTTCATAATTGCCCTTAACATACATATGCCTAGCTTAAAACTCAATTTCTGATTAATTAATTACCCAATCTAGCACCCAATCCTCCATAAATTAGGGCTTGTTTTATTGTTAAGGCCCAATTTGGCCTAGAGACTAAATAAAGACGTTCTAACTCTAGAATGTCAAAATTTAGACTTGAGCGGGGACTTTCTAAACTAATATGGGTGTTGGACGTGTATCTAATCTTCGTAATTCTAAGGGCCTCACATATTGGGCTCGTAAGTTCCCGTTTGAATGTTTCGCTCGGTAGCTATTAAGGTTTTAAAAGAAACCATTGTTTGATTTTCATAAAACCGATTGCTCATTTATTTAGTTACAAGTACTAAAATCTCATTATCAGTCCTAAATTAATTTTCCGTCAAATACCGACTTTTGAAACTATTTCACAAGTCATTTTACAGTGACCGTGAAACTATGTCTTAAAAACGGTTTTCTCATTCTGAATGGATATTTTCCTTTAAAGCGAGATCTAAAACCATAGTATTTTACTGAAATCACATCACAGGTTCTTTGATGAACTTTTTTTCAAAACCCAAAACTGTTTTAGTTTTGTTTGCTTACAACTGTGCAGTTCTATAAATCAGTGTTTTATTGCATCTTAGAGTCAGATTTTTGAAAATCTATTCTTCACCAAAATTCTTCGTCTCGTTGAGATCTAAAATTTTTGTGTTCGAAAAAAACTGAGATTAGGCCTCTAAAGGTCTCGTTTGGCTGCAAACAGTAGTTGCCAGACAGTGGCTGCCAGTTTTGAAACAGTTTTATTTTTTTTTTGGACAGCTTTATAATGTTTTGAAAAATAGCTTAAAACTTTTATTTAGAGTTAAAACTGGGCTTATTCACAGTCACGGAAAAACGTTCAAGATATCGAGAACTATAAGTTCAATCTTAGAGTAACTAAAAAATCTCGCTCTAGGATCCTCATTTTCGCGTTCAAAGTAATCAGAAAAATGTTACCTATAACCAAAATAAAAAAAACTTAAACCAAACATAAACTTACTACATACCACTAATCAACTAACCTCAAAACACACCAAAACTATCATAAAACTCACACATCCTTACTCGCGTAATATTTTGGACTTTTTTAGTCTTGAAATCATTTATAGACTATATAAGTTCTAAACTTAACTTTCTCTGCATTATATCTTGAGAATGACATTGTCACCGACGGTGTCAACTTCCGAGCTCATATTGTATCCTTATACTAAAAACCATTATCCTCATTACTTCAACCTATCTGTTCGGCAATTAAGAATTTTTCTTAAATGTCAGAGCGTTTCTCAGTACGCTGCTAATATCGTACTGTGCTTGGAGCTTCTTGAAATTAAGATTCTCAAATAATATACGGACTGAAAATTCTTTTGCCTTAAATCGCGGCGAGAATTTATCGAACGAATTTAGTTGCAAATAAAACATGAACTTAACATAAAATTTGCTACATAATTTTGAAATACTGATATTAATTTTATAAATCATTCAGTCACAAAATATAACATGATATTCTCCAGGAAAATCCGTAACTTAAATGCATAAATTATATTATTTAATTTTGAGAGTTTCTCGGTCGTTACATTATTAGTCAACAAAAATAAAATAGTTATACAATAAAAACATATATTTAAGGAGGTGAAAAAAACATACTCACACATATGTGGCATCAGCAGCCTCGTTCGCCCAACCCTTACCCTGGTGAAAATGTTTTTTTTTTTTTTTTTTTTTAAAGTGAAAGTACGACTCAATATTATGATGATACGAAAATAATTTTCCCTTTAAATAAATAAATAGGTAACGAAAGAAAAATATCAAAATATTTAATTAATTATGATCCACAAAATGCTTTAAAATAGGATCATCGAGTGTTGTAATAGTTGTGTCATTGAGGTCTATATCCTTACTAGTTAACTAAAACTTTGTCCCCTCCGTATTTGTCAGGGTTGAGTCTCAACTAGTTGACCGAATTGTCAAAGATGTTGAAAAGAAAATGAATGTTAAGTTGCTAAGTGATGAGTTAAAGGGCTTGATTGGGATTGATTCACGCATCAAAGCAATCCAAGGGTTATTAAGCAAGTGTTACTCAGATGTACGCATCATAGGCGTCTGGGGTGCTAGTGGTATGGGTAAGACGGCTCTTGCTAATGTGTTGTTCCACCAACTTTTTCCGCAATTTAAAAACAGGTACTTCTTACAGAATGTAAGGGAAGAATTGAGAAATCAAACATGTTCTACTCTACGAAGAATGCTTTTTGCCAGACTATTCGAGGAAGATGATAGAAGTATTGAATTGTGGACAGAGACTCTCAAGCAAAGGGCTCTTAAAACAAATGTCCTTATTGTTCTTGATGATCTTAGTAGTTCAACACAATTTGATGACATACTATTAAGGAACTGTATACAGTTTGGCAAGGAAAGTATAATTCTTGTAACAACTACAGATTTGCAAGTGCTTAAGAGTATTAAAGGTTGTGAGAAGTACAGGCTTAAGGGACTAAACAAAGATGAATCTCGTGAACTCTTTTGCTCGTATGCTTTTCCCAATGGCATCTGCCCTCCCGGTTGGAAAAACCTGTCAGAAAAGGCGGTTAAATTAGCTGGTGGTAGAGGGAATCCGTTTGCTCTTAAAGTTTTGGGTTCCCATCTTCGCTTCAAGAGCAAGGGAGAATTGAAAAGGGACTTGCCTAACCTAAAAATGACTTCCTTTCAAGAAGTTAAAGACATTCTTAAAAAAGGTTATGATTACTTAGATGATGTGGGAAAAGAAATATTTCTTGATATTGCTTGTTTCTTCAAAGGCGAAGAAAGAGATTATGTTGAAAGCCTGCTAGATGGTTGTCATACCTTCTCGTCTCACGGAGGAATAGATGATCTGATTAATAAGTCTCGCATACAAATTAAACAACACAACAGGCTTTGGATGGATGGTTTGACACAAGAAATGGGTCAAGAAATTGTCCGCGACAAATCAAGGGAGGATCTTGGGAGACGTTGTAGGTTATGGGATGCAGAGGAAATATGCGAAGTACTAGAGAATAATAGAGTAAGTGCCAAATATATACTTTAATTACTTGTTTTGAAATATTACATGAGCTTCAAAGAAAAAGATCTATATTCTGTAGTTTCTATTGGATATATATGTCATGTACTTGATTATGATTCTTTTTTTGTTCAATGACTAGGGAACAGAAGCAATTGGAGGCATATTCCTAAATGTGACTGAGATTAAGGATTCATTACGCTTGCGTTCTGATGTCTTCTCAAAGATGACTGGCCTACGACTTCTGAAGATTTATAATCCCCACTCCATAAGAGATTGCAAAGTAATCGTTTCTCAAGAAGGTCTTGAATCGCTTCCCGAGTCCCTTGTTTATTTCCATTGGCACGGATGCCCTTTAAAATGTTTGCCATCAAATTTTACTGCTAAGAATCTTGTTGAACTTAGCATACCCTATAGCCAGGTTGAGGATCTTTGGAATGAAAACCAGGTATTGTTTATTCATATATCATTGAATTGTGTTCAAGATTCATGAAAATTAGTTGTTAATTTCACTCATTTTTGTTTTTAATTGTTACAGAATCTTGGAAAGTTAAAAAGGATCGACCTTCGTTATTCTGAGCACTTGATTCGAGCTCCAGATTTTTCAAGCGCTTCAAATCTTGAGAGCATAAATCTTGAATGTTGTAAAAGTTTGCTTGAATTGCCTCTAGATGAAAAGCTAGTCAAGCTTACTTCTTTGAATCTTAATGGTTGCTCGTCTCTTCAAAATCTTTCAGTGCTTCCATGGAATATAACATGCTTACACATAAAGAATTGCACAAAGCTTCAGAGTATTCCGACCAGCATATTCGACCTGAAGTCTCTTACTAAGCTTGATCTCTTCGGCTGCTCAAATTTGAAGAACTTCCCAGAAATCTTAACGCCTATGCCATGTTTAATAGATCTTATCCTAGATCGAACGGCTATTAACTTTCTACCACCATCGATTCGAAAGTTAATTGCCCTTGAAACTTTAAGCCTGAATTTTTGTGAAAACCTTGAGTTTCTCCCTGAAAGTATTTCTTGTATATACTCTCTTCAAAATCTTAGCCTTCGCTGCTGTCCAAACATTAAATATTTACCGTCACTGCCACCATCTCTAGCAAGCGTTGATGCACGCGGCTGCACGGCACTGCAGAGAGTGTCCAGTTCAAAAGTGAATACAAAAGGTTGGGATTACAAACCTCAAAATATTGGGACATTCATATTCTATAATTGCCTTAACCTTCATCGTGACGCACAGAAGAACATAATGGCAGATGCACTACTTAGAATCAAACACATCGCAAATGTAACCTCAGAATATGTATGTTCTCTATTTCTCGATCTCTTGAGAATATATATCTCTTGTTTTGGTCCTCTATTTCGCTCTATTAAGAGTGCAAATCTCTTTCTTAAATAATTGGAGTCCTATACATGTTGATTGATGAATTAAAACTCTTGAGCAGTTTTTGGGAAAATTATTAAAATCTTTTTCCTACAGTAGAATTGACCAAAAGAAAAAATATGGTCATATTGTCCTATATCATAAATATGATTTTCTTTTCTGCCAAGAAGAAAAATAACAACAACATTCATAAATGCAGGAAGGAGATCCAGATATGACTGAAATTTGTTGGCCAGGAAATGAAATTCCAAAGTGGTTAAACCATCAATCAGAGGAGTCTTCAGTAAACGTAACACTTGCATCCAATCATCTTGAAGACACCTTCCTCGGTTTTATTTTCTGCATTGTTGTCGAATTTGAGCGCTGCAATCTTGATGAAGATTTCAAAATTCGTTGTGAAGCCCCATGTGTATCCCCTAATGGATTTGCAGCGACATGGAGTCATACTTGGACTTGGCATTGGAATGATAGGAATGAACGTGCCCGCGGATGTGTAGACTCTCCTCATGTGTTCCTATTTTATGACAACGGGCGCCAAATACGGTCTAATCTCGGAGCAGGAAATGATGCGAGTTCATCCTCTTCAGCTTCTAATGCCGAAAATGTTCCAGTAAAATTTGAATTCCAACTTAGAGATTGCAAAGGTCTTGATCCTAGCAATTGCCATGTGAAGAGATGCGGGATCCGGCTTCTGTATGCTGGGGAACCAATGCAAATGATAGAGAACTCTGAAGAGAACAATGAAAGAAAATCAAATTTCGGCTGCTTGCACCTTTGTTCACCAATTTTAGGTACTTATAAACTTCTCCCATTTCATTGTTTGTGAGTGTTTCTATAAGCTATTATTGGTATATTTACCCCAAAAAAAAAAACAAAAAAAACAAAAAAAAAAGCACTTACACTGGATTTTTATCTCTCAACGTGCATAGAACATTGTTAGACATCCCATGTTATCCAAAGCATAGTAAATGAGTTGCCCAAAAAATGGTAGATAAGTTGAGTTCTTTGTCACTACCTTCTTATTGAATACTATTAAATCAATGAAATTAAAAATTTAGGGACCAAAGTATTATGTTCATAGTTTAGGGACTAATAGTACTAATAATCCTTTAAGATTAATTCTATTAATTTCTTCTGATTTTAGGATAATTGGACAACTCTTTTAGATTCTATTAAAAAAAAAAGAACTCTTTTAGATTCTGCAGAACTGAGAATAGCTCAGAAAGTGTTCTAGTAAAACGTTATTGATGCTGGAATGAGCTATTGCAATTTTTATTGTTCTCACCAACTATAATCCCAACTATTTTGTACCAACTTATGTAGCATGGAAATGTAGTTACTTATTATTAATTTACATGACAATCTTTTAAACAACTACTAATAAAAGAATGACAACTCACATGACACATAAGTTGGTATATATAAAAAAAAAAAAATAGAATTAGCTTTGTCCCTAGTACTATTCACTTTTGTTTGACATTTTTTTTCCATGTTATATATGGTCCTCTTACTTAATTGTGAACTGCAACTAAATTCAATTTCTACCTTCCTTCAAATTGTTATTTAGTTAGTTAGTGAATGATTTTAGTTTATTCCGAAGACAACTGATCTCCTTCAATATAAGTGTTACTAAATTGGTACTTTAGTACTCAAATTTTCAGGAAAAGAAAAGGCTACAAATTCATAAGGGTTTCAAAATGGGACATGAATAAAAATACTGTATTAACTTCTGAAAAAAAAAATATGAAATTTTTACAGAAATTAAAGAAATGTACCCTGAGAACAATATATTTAAGGATTTGCTCTATGACATGCAGAGTTTTGTGAGTCTTTTTGGCTAGCGAAATAGGTATGGTACTTCACTGTGGGAGTCTCAAAAGAAAAATGGGAGAAATTTAAACGACAGCTCGTAGGAAATGGTCAGAACACAGAATTCCCTGGAGATGATGTAACTTGGGGAGTTGAAGAAAAGGATTATCTGCAGCTCTTCTTGCGGTGTCGCGGTGGGATCGTCGTATTCATAATTTCATACTTCTAATTAGTGTACTATAATATTTATTTGTACGTTTAGATTATTGCTTTTTACTAATTCCCATATTCCAATTTTAATTGTCGAAGACTAAGGGTGAGTCTCTATCAATTTCTTTCTTTTGCTCGTTCAGCCGGTGTTCTTGTAGTACGCGTCGGAGCTTTTGGAGTGTTTTGGAGAGCGAAGGAATGTGGTGGTCCGTCAAGGCAAAGAGTTTTTTAGCACCCAAAAAAAAAAAAACAAATGCTCTGCAGAGAGTTTGATATTATTAAGGCACCGTTTATTTCACAAATTCGAGTTTTCAATTTCGGTTTCATTACAGTTCATAAAAAGTCACATCTAACTTTTCTACTACATTGAAAATTCTCACATAAAATCACATCTCAACTTCAATTGAAAACTCGAATCCGCAAACTGAACGGGCCTAAGTGTTTAAGTCTTCTATTTATGTCCTGGTGCAGTGTGGCAGGCCACTCTGTCAGGTTGGCTCAAGTGCAATTCAGTTCTCTCAGTTTGGTTCGGTGATTGTGGGTATTATACGTGACTGTCAAGTTGTGGTGGTAGAGAAATTTGCTTTTTGTGCTGTTGATTTTGAAGTGCGGCGGGTAATGCGATGGCGGTGAAGGAGGCTTTCACGGAGCAAGTTTCATGGTTGTTTGTAAAATTGATGCGTCTTGGGTGGTAAGGCTTTCGTCTGGTGTTGTTGACAAGTGCAGGTGGGAGCGGCATTCGAACAAAGAGAAATGTTGATAGCTTGGCTGGGAAGTTCTTTGCGCGTAAGTTGTTCGCTACTAGGACCGTGAACTTTGCTGGCCATAATCTAGCGAAGTGGGCACGCTTTTCTGCTTTTTTTTTTTTTTGTTTTTGTTTTTGTTTTTGGTTATTTTTTCTTTGAAAATAATGAGAGCCCCATTAGAGACCTGATTGAGAATATATCTAGAGAATTATTTTGGAGAATTTAAGGTCACATTTTTATTTTTAGGTTTTTATTTAGGATTATTGGTGAAGGTATTTTTAAAGCTATAGGGAGAAGAAGAAAAAGATTTGGAGATGAAGCCCCATTAGGTGAAGGTATTTAGGAATATTGAATTTTAATCTTTTTAAAGAAGATGCATTTGAGGGAAAAAATATTGATTTGGCCAATTACAAAAATATTGTAAAAATTTATTTTCAATATAATAAGGACTATATGAATAAAAAATTAGTAGGTACACATATGAAAAAAAAAAATTAATAGGAGCAAGTGGGAAAAGAGTTATTTAGAAAAACATATAAAGGATTAAAATTATAGAAGAACCTTCGATAAAAAGGGAACAAAAAAAAAAAGAAGGGTCATATGAGTTATTTTAATAGGAGCGAAGCATGAAAAAGAAAGTATTCTAAATAATTACACATTAAAGGAATTAAGCTGTATAAAAGTATTTAGTAAAGAGAGAAAAAACGTGGAAAAACCGAAAGGAAGTTAGACATTTTGAAAAAGAAAAGAACAATAAGGAAAAAAAAAAGTAGAAAAGAAAAAAATAAGATAAGATAGCATAAGATATTAAACATTATAAGATGTAAGGTAAAGTGCATTGAATGAAAAAAGAAAAAGATTTTAATGAGAACAAATCTAATTAGGAAAATATATGGACAAAAAACAAGAAGTTTAAATAGCACATATTTGTAGAAGAAATAGTGGAGCAATTAAGAAGACTATGAATTTACAAAGACCATATCTAACAAAAATATTTTACATGATTGTAAAAACAAAATTCAAGTATAGACAAATTTGTGGAAATTATTATAATAGAAACAAAATAAAAGAAAAATAGTTACAATGACTACATTTAACAAAATAATATTTAAGAAGATTTAAAAAACATTAAGTATTCAAAATTATTACAAATAGATATAAATTAAAAGAAAAAGTATTTTGATGTATTGTAGTTTAAAGTATAAGGTTTTCAAGGGCTAAAACGCAAAGAAGAAGATAATAAAAAATTAAAAATTAGAAAAGTTAAGGCACTAGAAGACAAAATAATTTGACCAAGTTTCTGAATAGTGAAAAGAGTATGTCTACGGTCCGTCCATCACTGTTGGACGGACGGATTCGCCCGCTAATTGTGGGCCACTCATTAAAATTTGTTCGGTCAGATTTCACTGGTGGGTAATTGCACAGGTGTAAGAAGTATCCGATTGCTAAAAAATTTATTTCTTTATTTTCTTTCCGGTTGAGGGATGAGGTTGGGGCTAAACGCTGGTCGTTTTAAATAAACAGAGCAGGCTTAAGGATATTGGAAACTCTACTTGAGATCCATGGTAGGGCATAGATGGGAAAAGACGGTCGTCGCAGCAACAGGGATGTTCTCAGAGAAATGTTCACGATTTCACCGAGAATTTAAATAGACATTTGGTTCATAGATTCATAATTATTTTTAATTTACGTATATTTTTTATAAGAAAAAATACTGTAGCGAATCACGAATCATAATTCATTCGAATCATGGCACGAGTCCACCAACCAAATGCACTCTAAATGGAGCAGGTAAGCTGAAGTGGATTTCGGCTCCTGTATTCGAATCTAAAGCGTGAGGTGCGTTCGTGCTGGGATTTAATGTGAGCAGACGCCAAAGGCGACGTGCACGAAATTTCGAAGGCCCAGAGCACACGTCCTTGTTTGGGAGGCTTCTTCAAGTAAGCATAAGCATCGTTTAATCTTCCTTGTGTTAATAACAACTATTAGAGTATGAATTTATGGAAATTGCTTGGATTTCTTTTCCAGACCCTAGGTATCGAAACAACAAACAATATTTGGGTTGTTGCTAAATTTAATGGCGGAATGATGAAATCTGTTGTCATAGTAATATTTCCACTATTGTACGAGTTAAGTAGCGGTTAATTGTGTTATTGTGTTTATGGACAGTGAAACCCAATTCGATTTGCTGGACGTAGGACTTGAATGTTTGTCGTGTTAAAGTGATAAGTAGGTGCAGAACCAAAGCATAATGGTAGAAACAGACCCGAAGATGCATGGGGAAGGCAACAGCTGAACTGGAAGATGGAGATGTGCTCTATGCAAGGGACATGCACACAACAAGGCTATTTGCCATCTCAGAACCGATAGAGGCCGAAATAAGAGTTCTGGCGGGCCTTCAAAACAAGCTCGTGGTGGAGAATTTGTTGTTGATGCTGATGTCAAAATGATGATCCCTATAGTACATCCCAGACAAGAACATGCTGACACTTCTTGCCCACAACTCCACAACATGGGTTCACCTAATTGGTGCAACAAAACCGCGACTTTGATCTCCAATTACCTTGCCAACAACATCGATTCTCCGGGTCTTGGTCCACATTAAAGGTGGCAAACAATTCTATTGCTTTGCTATTTCTCAACTATATGCCTTTCACTATGTTTACGAATAATTGGCTTCCTGTTTGCCATTCGCGATTAGTAACACTAACTTACTATTTTCATAACATGGATGACATTAATATTCTCGTGACTTGTATGACATTAATATTTGCGTATCTTGGTACCGGTTTGAGTCTTTTAACACTTCATAAGACAATATGAATAATACAGAAACGTAAAATAAAAGAACACGAGAGAAATGGTATCGCGGTTTGGTAACAACCTACTCCGCGGGGCCATGCCCAAATGATGAACAATCCTCTAAGAACTCTTTTACAATTCAATTGGACTTAATCTACCCAAGACTCACTCTCTAAGAAGACGCTTATGAACTTGCAATTTCTCAATGGACTTGTACAGCGAGATCCCCTCGACTTTTTAACATTAGAATCCCTCCAACTAAGTTCTTCTCTCAAAAACACTCAAATCATCTCTCTTGAATATAAGTGCTCACCACTCACACAACCCAGCAAAACTAATCAAAAGGTGTACAGAGATACAAGAGACTCTTTGAACAAATAAGCAAAAATGATAACAGCTTGACGACCTCTTCAATTAATTCGCTGAACCAAATCTGTTGCAGATCCTTGTTGCAACAAAAACTGTAACATAGCTGTCAAGGTCGACTTTCTCAAAATCAGTCCGAATCAATCTGCTTTAATTCTGAAACCTTTCCGAAATTGATATATGAACCTGGACACTTTTTTAGGAGACAGAGGAAGATCATCCAGCTATGAAAACTCAATCAAATATCAATCAAATCACCAATGAACAATTACCATCTTAGGATCAATAGTTGACTTTTCAAAAATAGTAACTGGATTAAGATTCCAGATTCTTACAGAAACCTTCCATAAAGAGCTTACCAGCTGCACATCTATTCTTAAACACAATCAACCAGCCAATCATTCCCAAAATAATATCATTCATAAAACGATTAGAATCAATACAGAATTTGGGAAACAAATCCCAACAATCTCCCCCTTTGGCATTGTTTTGGCAAAACTAAAAATGAAAACTGAAACAAAATAACTTTTGTAAAGTCAGAAGCAAATTGTCTCCAAGAAAAACTCCGCCTGAACTAAAACATCATAGACTACCTACTCCCCCTTCTTGACAAAAATAAGGCAAAATAAAACTGCTGTCGCAGAAAGTGTTGCAACACCTGATGGAACACTCTGTGCAACACTTTCCTGCATATCACGTCACAATTCATTGATTTTTGCAAATCGCTCCCCCTGAATCCTCTACGAGTCTTACTCTCACTGAATATGATTGTCTCCCATGCATATTGCTTTTATCACCTATCAAAAGCTTGAAGTGACCATTACCACAGTACTCAGAGTTAGTAGTACATGTTTTAAAAGAAGTGTAAGCCCCATGACACCTTAAATCAGATTTTCTTACCCACACACGTCTAGGAAATTTATTTTGCATATCAATCTTCACTTTAGGTGTCCTTCTTATGAATGCGGTATTTGGTGGATTAATGATCATACCTCTTTCTAAAGCATTCAAGTATTTGTAACACCTAGGTCTAATGTGGCCAGGCAAATTACAATAGTGACAGATTGGAACAAACCTGTCTGTTGCTTGTCTTGTTACAACAGGCTTCGCAACAAACTTCTTGTTTGATCTTACCCGAGCTTTCTTAAAGGACTACATCATATTACTGGTGGCTCCTTTCACAAAGACAGTCTTCCCAGAAATTTCTTGACCCTTGTAGCCAAGCCCTGAATGATCACCACAAGTTTTTTATTGTGAGAGTAAGTGATCCAATTTTGTTGTGCCCGAGTTTAGCATCCTTAAATTCTTCTCGGTCGGCTCCATTTCGAGTTTGGTCTCAGCAACCTCTCTCTGATGCTTTGTTGTCAAG